AAAAAAAACCTTTTTTCTGAGTCTGATGTGTGTTTATGATTATCATTATGYTTTCTTACGACAACATTCATGAATTGTATCACAGATTGTAAGTTACCCACCTTTTCCTGGCAATGAAATGAACTAYCTCCGTGCCCAAGTAGCTAGAATCACAGCAGGAGCCTGCATCAGCCCAGCAGGYTACTTCATGTTTGAAGAAGAAGAAGAGGAGGAGGAAGAAACAGAAGAAAGAGACTCTTACATCTTGAATACAGACTTTGAAGGCATTAATGTCCAAGAGCTAGCAGATCCTTCTCTTAACAACTGGGTTCATCATATGCAGCACATTCTACCACAGGTGAGTACAAAGCTACCCAAGGGGGGACTCCAAGGGGGATCAGGGTGGCGTGGGTGGCCTAGTGGTTAAGCTGCTGGCCTCTCACCGCTGTGGTCCAGGTTCGATACCCAGGCACGGACCATATGTGAGTTTGAGTTTGTTTTTATGTATTTGTTCTCTCCCTTGCCATGAGGGTTTTTCTCCGGGTCCTCCGGTTTTCCTCCCTCAAGCAAAAATCAACATGTGAGGAGTGTTGTGTGCTAAAATACTTAATGTAGAGGTAGTGAGTGTGAGAGTAGGGAGGGCCACGAGTTTATCAGTCTTTGACTGTAATGTGCTACCCTCGTAAAATAAAGTTATTTATTTTATTTATTTATTTACTCCTGGGTAAAGGTACCAGAGATGCTCGTCGGATCTCTTATTGATAAAAAGTTGTGATTGGGAATCTTTTAGGGTGCCAATTTGGAGTTTCTGGAAATTTGCATTTTGTGCAATCTCTTATGGTGTCGTAAAAGAAGAGAAAGAGCACATCGATATAGATTTTCCTCTGCGTTTTTATCATTGGAACTGATTTAAGTTCAATAACCATATTTTACTATATTTGTAGTGCAATCACTAAAGGGTTAAAAGTCGGTCAACCACGCCCTTTTTTCAAGAACTCAGGGATCTTTTAGGGGTCTTTTTGACAAGCATTTCTGAGTCAACCTCCCCCAGAAAAGCTACAATCTTCTGCAAAATAAATTCAACACCCTGATCCCTTTACCCGCTGTAATTACACGTTACTTGCTCATATGCAGAGATTTTGTAGCAATTAAAGTTTCCAAATCATTGACAAGCAACCTTGCAAAAAGGGAAGGGATGTTGTCGTAATAACGCAATCATAGGCAGTGTTTCACATAACTTTGTAAAGGATTCTAAAGGGGTTGTCATGGGGACAGCTACTCGAATAAACTCTTTTGTAGTCTTTTTTGCCACAAGAAGTCACCAGAAATATTTTAACGGTTTAATAGACGAAATTCCTGTCTTTTTATCAGAGTTTTTATAGTTGTTTTTACTCTTCCTTCAGGGTCGATGTGTCTGGCATAATCCTGTGGAGAAAAATGAGGAYGAATTCGAAGAAGAGGACGAAGAGGAAGAAAAAGAAATGGTGGAAGAACCGCAAAGGGAAGTGGGACCTACCCTCTTGGCCTCGGTAGCAGACGATGATCGTAAGTTGAAAAAACTATCTGCAAATATCCGTCATATTGCTGTTTACTTATACTGTCACTTCATTGGTTAATTTACATTGGKGTAAAGTGCTTTTAGTTCATAGAAGGGTAAATAGCTGCGAGATGCTTTTCACTGGACAGCAGCTTTATTRAAGATTATACAAAGATAGATTTGACGTAATTCATAATGTTAATCTTTCAGCTGTCAATGATATGCCAGCATGGACCCCATATGTCTCATCAGAAGTCCTCCCACGATACGCCTTAGCAGTCCTAAGGTCAAACAGATGGCCCGGAGCCTACGCATTTGCAAAGGACAGGTTAGTTTGYGCTTGTATTCTTCGCCAGTCGTCCAMAAAAACTTTCCTGGCGACACGATTCTCTMGAGGTTCTCAACCCTTGGAGAAAAAGAATTTAAGCTAGCCTTCATAGACATAGGGCACGTTATAAGCTGTACTCTATATCCCACTCTATGCATCTATACAGGGGCGTCAATGGGAAATTGCGGAAGTAAAAAACATCTCTACAATGTCTTATATTTCGACAGTCTGTCTTCAATGTTATAACGTTTTATAACAAATTAATGTTTTTCTATCTTTTGGTATTGACTGGTGATCCAGGGCCTAGAATTTATAGGTTTCCTTATAGTTAACCGCAGGATTAGCGCTAATCAAGCTTTGATCTCTTCCACCCAGCTAATAATAGTGACAATGCAAAGAATAACGCTCCAGGTCTTAAATGGTTTTCTCATGATTGCTTTCACAGAAAATTCGAAAACATTTACATTGGGTGGGGCCACAAGTACGATGCCAACAACTACACACCCCCTCCCCCTCCGCCTACAATGTCAGAATTCCCTGTTGCGCCCGAAATAACAGAGGTTGATGACCCGACTGTCGAGGAGGAGGCCGCCTTGAAGAAGGCTCAAGAGGAAGCTATGGAGGCAGCAGAGGATATGGAGGACGTGGATGACGAGGACGATGACGATTAATTGACACTTCATGTATAAAAATAATATTTATGTACAAAAATTTGTAAAATATGATGTCGCAGCTCTAAATAATAAAGTCAATTTTATATACACTTGTAAGCTCTTCTACAACCGGTGGTATTACCAGAGAGCTTTATATCAAGACGGCACTTCTATGAATAAGAGGGCGGGATGTGCGGGGATGTTCRTTRTAATAGTGCCAATTTCTTATCCAGGTGGGCGTGGCAACATGTGGTTTTTACCACGAAACTTCCCTCGCTCTTTTGAAGAGGAGTGTTTTTCCTAGAAGCAATTCTTTTGAGTGTTAAGTATTTACACAGGAGAGATGAACAAAATGAGAAAGGGCATTGATCTTGTTGAGCAGCTAGTTACTGATCAGTTGTGCCAACTCGTATTACGTAACGATTTTAAATCAAATGATTCCGTCAGCACGACTTTTGCCCTCATGAAAATGATTGGTATCCCTGTGCTTTCTCGACACAGGGAATCCAACATAAAAGAATGGCAATGACCATCTGGGAATTTCTTTCGTTATTCATATAATACTATGTAAATATCTATTAAAAAACTGAAAAGTTTTTCTACCATTTTTTCGTTATTAAAGTGAATATCAAAGTATCAAATAAGCTTAGTTGAGGGGGAGGGGAGGGATAGTCGAAAAGCTGTTCGCGCGAGGATTGGTACCTACTTGTAACGTTACTGCAAGCTGTGATCCGGTTGATCGTGGACGGTATAAAGATGTTTTGAAACTCTTTTTTTGCTCTTCAGACAACATGTTAGCGGAGCTCGACGAGTTAGATTCTAACTCAGGCTGGGTGCCGTTTTTCCAAGTAAGTATTTTACGTGATTTTTGATATTTAAAGGTTTGTTTAATGCCGTTACTTGCGATTACTTCGTTGATCWGCAAGGGACTGCCAGTAAATTTTCCAGAAACGTATTTTCTTCTCCAAAACTCATCAATATTAACGGCTCTTTTCACCTCAAAACTTAATCTGATGATTTAGAAGATAAATTGGATTGCCAAAGGAAATGCTGGCTCACAGAAGATTGCTAAACTACCAGAAAATCGTCAACTGAACAGATATCGCGATGTCTTGCCATGTAAGTTGTCGTTTCCGCTCGTCGACCCTTGACACTGAGCAGTGAATGATCCACAAATGTCGTTTTCCTTTTTGCGTTTTTCTTAAGTTTCCTCCCCAAACCACAAAGTAAACACATAAATTGGTTTTTCGCATTCCAGATGATCATAGCAGAATAATTTTGAATGCAGAGGACGGTGGTACAGACTACATAAATGCAAATTTAGTTGAGGTGAGTCACTGACATACTTGATATTTTAGTAAAAATTATAAAGAATTGGTCTTCCATGACTAGCCTGCTCTCTAACTATTCCAAATTGATCTTGAAGTTATTGTAATTAAACGTCTTTCTTAGAATTTCATACAAATATACTATTTATAATACACCTCGTGATCTGTCATTGTTAATAAGGTTAATGATTCGTATATTGCTCTAGCATTCTATAGTGTTCTTTTTTCTCGTTTGTTTCTCATTTATTAATGTAGGAATTGTATATTATAATCATAAGGAATATATCATTACTTTATCTCAATTATATCAAGGTTTCATTGATTTTGTCCTACCCCTTGTGAAAAAGGGGTGTGTTATGATGGTTATTTGAAAAATTATCTCCTACCAATCTAACAAATTTTCATGTAACTTGGTGCAGCTATTATAAAAAAATGTTTTCTTGTTACCATCACTGATATCCCAAAATTTGTCTCCTCATAAACAGCAAATTATTGTAAAATATATAATGGCAATCAAGGTGAAACAGATATTATCTTGTAATTTGCATACACTGTGACAACTTTGCAAATGAAATAGCTCCCTACATTTATTAATTATACATGATAACCTGCTCACAACTCATGCTAGCATATGAAGAAAGTTGCACAGGTTTGAGCTTTACCTCAAAGTTGCTTGGAGTTTTCATGAAAAATGCAATGACGACTGGAAAATAGATGATTTTAGAGATGTGCTGGTGCTTCAGTTTTAAAAAATACTGCAGACATGCACATTGCACTGAGATATCTACAGCTAGTGTTTTAAAGGTCACTTATATTTTTACAACCCCACTTTTAATGCAAAAGTTTTGGAAGTTCATTTCAGAGATCATCTGTTCTTAAGGAAAAAAATTGACATCTAAATTGGACTGAAAGACATACATGTATATTATGGAGTCATTATTGAACTGAAGGGTAGATAAAGCAATCCGATAAATAATGTTATGAACTCCATCAATTTAGAAGGATTTTATCTGGTGGGTTTCTATGATTATTAGACAATCAGAAGGCCATAAAAAACTCTTTATATTAACTTACATGTACTGTTGATAAAAATCATAGTATTGGTGTAAATAATTAGTGAAAGAAAAACATTAATTTGACTTTGAAAGCTTTTTCTACAAGCTGGATGAAAACTGAAGAGTTTTTAGTTCTTGTGGTAGATTTTGATTATTGATAATCTCCTTTCAAATTGCATTTAAGTGATCTTTGTCATGTGAACATAATATCTGCCTTATCTCAACACAATAATGATAATTTCAGATTTTGATAATTATTAATACTCAGTGTATTCAAAAGCAGGATATTACTGCATGTTTGTAAAATCTACTTATAAAGGAATTTTGTTTTCCTTCTTTCTTCCTGCTGTTTTGATCTCCAGCAAAGATTTTAGAATTAAACCATGTGCTCTTTTCAAAATAATCCACAYGAATGCACAATTCAGAAATGAAGTGGGAAGATATTACTTTTAACTTCTTGTGCTTTTTTCATAAACTAAAGCTTAATAGTGAAAGAAGTTTAAGTGAAAGAAGCTTTTGTAGGTTTGGTTTTGAATTGTGCTAGTACTTTTGTACATAAAACATTAGAAATTGAAAAACAAAAGTGCTAGTTTTATTATTTACATTGTTACATAGTATCATTTAAGGTATGAAGACTAGTGTAAGAATATTGTTCTGTTTTATAACCATAATTATATGACATTAATAAGCCTTTATATCCTGTAAACATTTTAAGTAAAATTGTTTGATAACAAAGGAAGTTGACTTTCAACACTCATTTAGCAATCACAGTACTTTACATAATTTTCAAGCCTTTCTGAACTCTACCTCATTTATTGAACTTTGCATGTCATAACCCTTGCAAATTTAAAAGTTGTTTGTAATGCTTATCAAGTAAAAGTGAGCACTTGATGTACTTTCTATGACTTCCTTTTTTGCAAGATCCTTACTAAAAGATTATTTCTAATTTGATTGACATCTTGAATTTTCAACGTCAGTTGATGTCGTTAAGGGAAGTCATTAAACCAGTGAAACAAAATTTGGMTATTAAAGCGTGATATTCAAATATAGACACAAAAGAAAGCAATATGCTATTAGAGTGTACTAAAGGTGTATTAGTGTTATATCTACATGTATTTCATGGGTAACTTTTTTGACTTCACTGTAGCATGGACTGGATAAGAACAATATAGCAAATAAAATTCATTATTGCAAACTGTTTTCTTACCATCATTGCTGAAGTGTTAATTTGCTGCTATTACCTGTAGGTGCCATCATTAGGCAGAAGATACATTCTATGCCAAGGACCATTAAAACACACCTCAGCTCACTTTTGGCAAATGGTGTGGGAGCAGAACACAAAAGCTGTTATCATGTTAAATAGAGTTATTGAAAAAAATCAGGTTTGTTGATTATTGCAAAAATCTAAAAAGCAGTTCAAATAGTGATTCAAGCTACATTTATGTGGTAGAGGGCTTTCAGTAAAAGGGTAATGAAGTTCACTATATCCCTTTAGCTCCCATTGGCCGCTTGAATGCCCATCTATATGCGCCCATAGGCCACTCTAGTGGCCAAAAACAATAACAGAGAATAAAGCGATTTTTTACTCAGATGTTATTGACTTCATGCGTCTTTAAATTTGATCATTATTCTATAGATTAAACATCTGTTATGGTCTTGAATTTTTTTTTTCTGCTTCTCTAATGCTAAATTGCCCCTGTAATATTAAATCAAAGTTATGCATGGCAGTGATAGTGAGGACAGCAGCCATTTTGGCTTGGGATTGGAGAACACCCCTAACACCTAAGATCCTGGGCAGTAAAGGGATATTATTTACTAAATTTCACAAATAGGCCTTTTGCAGCTAGGGGTCACGTGACCATGCCTACCTTAAATCAATCGGCTATCACAAAACGATGTTCAGAAATGGAAAGAGCTAAGGGGATGATCAAAATAAGTAAGAAGACAAAGTCTCAAGTCTCAACTCTAAATACTTCAAAAATGACAGCAAATATAAAATCTTTTTTTTTCTAAAGAAATATATGCAAAAACAGAACTGGAGAGCAAGCCTTGCTCTCCAGCTCTATTTTCCCATACGTTTCTTTAGAAAAATCAATATTTTACATTTGCTGTTATTTTTTAAAGTATTTAGAGTTGAGACTTGAGACTTTGCCATTTTACCAACATAAACCTGCTCTTTCCATTTCTGAACAGCATTTTTTGATAGCTGATTGATTTAAGGTAGGTGTGGACATGTGACCCCCAGCTGCAAAAGGCCTATTTAGAAAAGAATTAGAACAATAAAATGAAAAATATGCTTCACGCTTTTACTAAAAGCACTCCCCTACTAAATTATTAAAATACAAATGATATTTAGAATGTAAGCCCTTGTGTTGAATTTAGATAATTTTATCATTTATCACCTCTCTCTATGTACACATACATAGGATTCATATTTCAAAAAACACAAGAATTTGCCTACTTATTGGATAAAAGGAGTATATTTTCCAAGTTCTCTGAAGACAAATCTCTCAGGGTTTTTTTTTCGTTGTTCTTTAGAACTATTCCTCTGCCTCTATTAACTGTTTTTTTGATTATAAACTTTATTCTGAATAGATTATTATTGTTTTTTCAGATCAAGTGCTATCAGTACTGGCCATGCGGGGAGGCTGTTGGTCATACTAACGTCTTAGAATTTGGAAACTATAGGATAACATACATTGATGAAAATATGAGTGAATTTTTTACCGTCAAGACCCTAGAACTGTATAATATAAAGGTTTGTGCTATTTAAAATAAAACTTTAAGGAAATTTTGTGTTTGAACTAGGATGGTAAATTATTGGAGCCAGTTTTTTGMTTATTTTTACCGTAAAACAAATATGACAGTATAGCATAAGATTGAATCATGATACATCAAGGAAATTGTGCAATTACTTACAGTGCAACACAGTACTAACCAATATGCCTGCAATAATTAAACTTAAAAAACTCATTGATATTTATAAGGCAATACACAATAGAAATCATAGCCCATGAAGAGAGTTGTATATTACATACAGATTCTTGTTCATTTGCATAAACCTTAAACTCCGGTTTTTCTCGTTCAGATTGATTTTTTTTCAAAAGTTTCTTTAAAACCTTAGCAAGTTTACCTCTACGTTTCATAAGTAATATACAATATTCGCATGCGATTTGTATGAGTTTTTGCTGTTTTAAATCCTCATACAGATCGCCCGCTCATATTGTACATGTATCTATTACTAACAGTTCTTGCACTTTGATTGCCTATTTTTCTTTAGAACTTTCTTTAGTGTCCACAATAGCTCTCATTACTGTAATCCATTTCATTTTTTTTATTTCAGAAAGATGAAAAGCGAACAATATATCATTTTCATTACCTCCACTGGCCTGACTTTGGAGTTCCCAGTTCTCCTGCTACTTTCCTGTCATTTCTGTTTGAAGCGCGCAACACAGGTGTCTTGTCAAATGATGTAGGACCAGCTGTTATTCACTGCAGGTTTGATATCYTATAAACTATAATGATAATAGACTTGCAGTTAATGGGAATGTAGAACCATCTTCCTCATACAGCTATACCCAAAGATTTTTACATTAGATGACTAGCTAGGGAGCAATRATCTTATTTRGTTTTGMCTGCCATTTTATAAATGTTTAGAAACACAACACTGTGCTTCTTAGTAGTAATGCTAAGCTTTGTAGCTTCCTGTAGCATTGAGTTTGTATGGTAGATGTATGTGCTTAGACCTTACACTAATCGTTAACTTTCTAATTATAAAATAAGCTGAAAAAGCTACAATTATAATGCTACAAGTTGGTGATTTGTTCTGCATTGTTTTAACATATTTATAATTGTATTTAGTCACATTTTTAAACTTAGATTTTGATTTGTAATTTGTCATAATTCAGCCCTTTGGCTACAAACTAAGGTAGAGAGCAAGCAATATAACTGCGAAATATCATTAAAGTTTTAAGTGTCTTTATAGTTCTTACTTAGTAACTATTTTAAACAAGTGAAGTTGTAATGAAGTATTGTTCCCTTTGTTTGTGCCTTTATCTTGCTCTTTTCTGGTTGACCTCTAGTATCGAAATAGTTCCTATCTAAGAACTATTAAAGAATTATTATTCAGTAGTTAGTTTATATTTCACAGACATATTGTGTGCACTCTATCTTAATAAAACTATCTATTTATCTATCTATCTTATCTGTAACTATGCATTGTTTTTACCTTTAGTGCTGGTATTGGGAGATCTGGTACTTATGTAATGGTGGACTGTATATTAAAAGAGGTATGGTTTCCTTCTATAACAATATATAGCAGTTTGTGACTGTTGTGTGTTGCAGTTTGAAATGTGCTTAAGTTAGAATGCTAATTTTTTAAAACTGGTTTAAAATTTTGAATGATATGATGTAGAACATAGAAAATAATATAATGTTGTTTCTATGTTGTAGAACTTATCTATAAAATTGTATCATTATATAATTATGATTTCTTTGTAAAATGTTATTGTTATTTGTAAGAAGTGTTTACTAATGCATACTAAGTACTGTTATGCACAACTTATCTCATAGGTTGAGAAGACGAAAGATCTAAATGGTGTTGATATAAAGAAGACATTACTAGAGATCCGTACATACAGACTAGGGCTGATTCAAACCCCTGATCAGTTACGATTTACATATGCSGCCATTCTTGAGGGCACTCACCAGTTGTTCCCTGAGGTGTATGAAGAGGCTTTGGACAAGTTCATGGAAATGAGAGGTTAGTCACCTTTATTAGTCAATCAATGACCCAAAATGACCAGCAAATTCAATTCAGTCCAATTCATTTTTTATGAGCGGAATTTAATAATATACTGTAGTATAGTAAAATATAGTAATAATTATAATTTTAATAGTATTTATTTATACAATTGCTTGGTTCATATTGTACATTTATTGATTTGTACATTTCTTTTATTCATTTGTTCAATTGTTATATATTTAATTTTTGGTTTTTGAAAAGGTGATAATGTTGAAGAAGAAGAAGAAGAAGAACCCCCACCCCTCCCCCCACCTCGCAAACGGCCAGAGCCWCAACCTAATGACACCACTGATATAGAGAAAAAGAGAAGAAGAAGTCTTCCTGAAACTCCTTCTGAGACCAACCCACTTGTAGACGCAACCAGCCAAGGTAAAAATAAACGGCGAAAATCCTGGAATTTAAAGAAGCTTTTCAAGACCAAAAAGGAAAAACCAGGCAGGCAGGAAATAAGTTTAGAAGGTAGTTGTTACTGTTAATTACAGCGAGTGTGCAGTTGTACATGTAGTTTAGTCAAAAGTGAGTAAGGGAACCTTGTTCGTGCAAGTAATATAGTATGCAAGTGCAAGTGAACCAGTCCACCAACTGAAAATAATATAGATAAAAGTGATAGAAAGTGATAAAAAGTTTCATTCCTTGCATTTGTGTTTGGATTTAAGTTGCTTACATGCAGGGCTCGAAATAACAGCCAGACATATGCAGGACAAGATGTCCTTCCAAATTCATTTTTTGTCGAATTTTGAAAGGACAAAAACTTTATTATACTACTATTTTCTTTTAATTTAGAGGTTTTTGTATTCACAAGGATCAGCAAGCATTTTAATGGTTTGTAAAAGATTTATTTAGCAAATTGGGAATTGGTTGTTGTTGTTTTTTTGTCTAAAAATGTGTTCAGAGGTCAATTTGTCCTTTCAAAACCTGATTTGGCCATTGGTCATCTAGCAAATTTGGAAGCACATTGTCCTTTGTCTGGCCATTATTTCGAGGCCTGACATGTCTGTGTGAACTAGGACTAAAATGCTGATGCTTGGGGCATCCAGCCACCAGRGATTAATCCTCTATAACAATACCAGAATTTAAAATTTTGTAACATCAAGTAAACCCTGATAATGTCCTAATAAAGTCAAGACTTACAGAACTTTTGGGTTAGCAATTTGACCTTGATAATGACAAAACATAGTATTGAGTGACTATATTATCTCAATGAATTTCTCCAATGTTTTTTCAGCAACACTCTCTTCTGATGAAAGTGATGGTGAAGATGAAATCATCAATCTATCAGAGTCTTCGTTATCTGAAGACGAGGACGAGACAAATGCAAACAGAGTTGTCGAAGACACAAATATTAAAGACGATACGTCAAGGAACGTAAAACAAATATCTGAGGATTCTGGTACAGGAAGTATAGAGCTTAGTGGTAGGATTTCAGAGGAAACRTCAAAATCAGAGGARAGCCAAGACGTGGAAAGTGAAAAGACTCTTGAAGAACCTGAGAAAGTGGAAAGCAAAGTGACTGTTGATGACTCCATTGTATCATCAAAATCAGAAATATTATTAGAAGATAAAAGTCCTTCAGCCGATGATGTCAGTCCTGCTACTTATGACGAAGGAAAAAGTACAAGTAAGGAAAGGTATTTTACGTGATTTTTCTATCTTTAGCTACTCTAGATATTGTTTAAAAATAGACATGAAGACCCATGTGCTTCCAAGAACTTTTGCACAATCTTCTCACATACAAAAAATTGCCAAGTTTGATTTTGAGACACTTAGAAAGCAACTGCTTTCAACACAAGACAGGTTCTTGGATGTGCATGGGACTTTACTATGAAATTATGGAAATTAGAACCTTGAAATCAATCAATCAATCAACTGTTTTCCCATCTCTCCTTGAAAGATATTTGGCTGTCATTCCACTAGAATGGCATTCAACCATTGCTTGTTAAAAAATGACTGTTTTCCATAAACCTGAAACAAGCTTTCAGTATTTGACTTTAGTCATGATCGTTCATGTTGAATGATGACAAGGAGTACATGTGTGTCATTTCATTAGTATTGATTGACAGATATCACAAGGTACATGGATCTGAAGTGCTCAAGGTAGTCACTACAATGATTAATGCATAGGGCTGCTCAAACATTATTTTATTTTCTACTCAAACATTTATTTGCACTAGCAACAACAAGAACACTGTGTTTGTACACGTATATTATTAATAATCACTTTTATTTTGTTTCAAGCAACATGGGACTCAGACAACGGCAAGTCGGTCAAGAGAAAGAAGATGAAGCAACCAAACTTGATAAGGAAAGTAGTGAAAAAGAGACGGTACACGAAGAATCCTCTTCATGGATCCGCACGATCGTCAAAAGGTCCTTGATAGTAATAGCAATATGTTCAATAGCGTACTTAGCTTATCGTTATTTTAGACACACTGGAAAGGTCCCGAGACCAAAGAGAGGACGCCGACTTTGATACAGTTTGTTAGTTGTTTGTAGTTTGTTACTTTTTAGTGAAGATTATTTTTGTACGAAAATGTAAAAAAAAGCTGAAGTTCTCTGCAACATTTTTGAATGAATGCGTACCTTTGTGTTGATGCAAGACTACTGATGACCTTGCAATATCTGGGAGGATTGTAAAATCATATAAAAACGTGCCTATCAAGCTCGGACACTAGCCGTCTTACTTCAGTGCAAAGTARCAGCTACCTTGGAATGTTGTCAAGGGAACTATTATACAATAATTTTAGATACAGTGTTGATTGTTATTGTTTGAAAATTGTACAAAGAAATTCTTTGTTTGTACTAAGTTAATCCAATGTACACAAGTACATAGAGAAGTGGATCTATTCGGGGTGAGAAATGAGTGACCTTGACCCTCTTGATTACTGTGACATTTTTGTTGATGTTTTTGATATGTGGAGGCATACAAATTGGAAAGAAATCAAATCAGCAATTAATTTTAGTGATTCAGTTGAGCTCCTTGACAAAGTTTACCCCTGTATGACCTGTTTTGAAAATACCAAATCAGACAAATCAATCTTGTATGGCCTTAAATATTTTGAAATGATTTTGTTTTTACTGTCACTAATGTCAAAATACAGGCAGAAGAAAACCTCCTAGGGCATCATACAAGGCTATGTGACAGTCAATTTTTCAAGCGATTTCTTTGAATGAATATTTAAAATAATTATTATATTATGATTTTCTATTTTGGTGATACATGTGGTTTCAAAATGATAACAATGGCATAAATTGTGGACCATGTTTCAGGGGGAGGGTTGACCAGGTGAGATTAGCCACAAATCAGGAAGTGCGATTATTCACTTGATGCTCACAGATTGGTGGCCAGGTTTGTGGTATGCACAGCCAATACTGTTCAAGAGWGTCAGTGAGTGAATCTTCATTGACATAGAGTGCAAGTCACATAACCACGAAACAATTCTTAACTATGTAGTGCCAAATAAGATTTAGCTATCAACTAACTAAGAATTGAGAACAATGCTACAAAGGAATTTAAATAATTGGTATTGTGTTTATGCTTTGTTGAATTCTTAGTTGATAACTAAATCTTATTTAGCAATACATATTAAGAATTGTTTCATGCTTATGTGGCCTGCACTCTACTAACAGTAAAACTGTTTTTCAGTGAGAACAAAAGCTTTCAGTCTATCATTGTATCCTTGCCAGTTCAAGTTGTTCTTTGATACAAAAGTATGATTACATATCAAGATGAAATATAGGGAAACAAGCTTGAAGTGGTTATATTATTCTGAAACCTTACATGTATGTCATCAATTATAATCATATAAATAATTATACAGTTATAAAATATGGGTAGACCATTTGTAGATATACACTGTATTCTATAGAGAAWTAATTGTTTCTGTCATACAGAAATATCCAGGTTACCTTGCCCATTAACCCTTTTTTTGGTTTTAATATTGTGATATTTTTTATAATTATGTGTTGTATTATAACATGCTGTTACTGACTGGAGGAGACTTTTATTGGCCAATAAATGTCTTCCTTGGAAATTTTATGTGSCTTTAATCTTCTTTCTTTCTTTCTCCCTCTCTTTCGTTCTTTCTTTTTTCTTTTTCATTTAGCTCTCCTGCTTTGTAGAGTAYAAACACTAAAACTGTGCAACATAAATACCACTAAATACTGCYAAATTATGATAAATCTATTGTTTGATTAACACTATTTTGTAGTAAATAGTGGAAAGTGTTGCACACATTTAATGTTTGTACTCTACAAATTATCWGAACAAATCAAGAAGGATTTTATTGTCTCTGTGAMAAAAAGTAAATTTATATTGGATTGYTTGACAATGAAAGGAAATACAATTATATCTCCCAACCCTCCCCACCCCCTWATGGAAAAAATCAGTTTTTTTCCATGGTGTTGATTGATCATTTGAAGATTTATGGCTGACAGTTAAGGCTTAATGGATCAGTGTTGAATTTATTCTATGGGCATTGATTGGTTGTATTTTGAATGTCATTAAGTTAACAAATATCGTCAATGATAACAGAGGCAAAATTAGGGGTCTATTATTCTATATAAACATTAACCAGTGAAATCYGCTAGAAATTTATGCAGAATCATGAATGCTTGCAAGAGTTGGTGCAGTGATTTGTCAAAAGACAAAATAGATGTTTCAGTCGTTTCAGTTATTAATTAAAATTACATTTTAATAATTCCACAGTGAAATGAACAAACAAAGTTTTTATCAAGATTTATTGTGGCCCTATTTAATTGTGTTTCTAGTATTTCACTTAATCTTCATATAGGAATCTTGATCCTGACAGCTCCTAACCCTATCTCTGCTAGACATCAATCAATTTGCTAAATAATGGAGGTAGCCTTCAAAAAGACAGCTGTTTTGCGGCAAAAGTGATGTCGAGATCTTCTGAGGCCACTTCATGTCAAAATGCATTTGTACTTTGACGAATAATTGAATGCTTTATGATTGAAAAGTTTTTAGGGTCTTTGATTCAGGACCAAAATAAAATACCCCCAAGGGGTTTTTACAACTGTTACTAGTGTTTATATTCGTTTTTAAACATTCAAACTTATAAAAGGTTATGTGTTTTAAGACAAATATTTGCCATACATTCAAAAAATACAGACAATATATATAATTCCCTTCTTTTCAAGGGGTTTCACTTTGACGCAAAAAGGGCGCGGCTTAGACCGTTTGCGGAAGCGACAATAGGAGCCTGGGCGCGATATATTTSGAATCGAAAGACGTGCCGGTGTTCACACATTGGTGACACTCGCATTGCAAGTGGAGCTGTTGTTTGGTGGAGCTGTCTACGTTAAGAAAAGCCACTTCTTTGGTCACTTCGACGCTTGAATAATAGGTAAGACGTGTGCTTTTATTGACAGGATGTTCTTGTGTCAAAATACAAAGAATTGTACCAGTTAAATGGGCGCATTTTGGAATAAAATTGGAGATCTCGAGTCTCTGTACCTTCTGCAGCTCCTCCGTCACGTAATGCAGTTTCAGATCAGTCCAGCTGAAAGCTAAAAACTGTACATTAAAAGGAAATTTTACTGTGCATATTAGCTTTGAGACTCTTTTTTTGAATTGTTTTTTTGTAAAATTCAAAAAAGCTAGGAAGTCAAATAAAACTTTGAAAAGGTCAAAAGTGACCTTATATTAGTCCATGAAAATATTTTCTTGAATAGCCTGGGTAATAGTATGCAAAGTTAAGTTATGTTATAGCTAGACGAGGAGTTAAATAGGGCATTGTTAAGTTTAGTTATGCTTTACTGTTTTTCCATCCGTTCTTTTTTCCAGTATTCCGTGACACAATTGTGTAGTTGTCGATTCGAAGAGATTAGAACTGAGCCTTTTTTATATGGCAGCCATTAACTAAAGCTCAAGTTCTTTTGAATTACTTGTCATTTGCCCTAATATTTTTACATCTTCATGCGGTAAACGAGTAGTTTTCTGGGGTGTTTCTTTGCAACGACGGCGATCGACCCAGAGATCGATCGATCCAACGCAAAGTTCATTGTTTGAAGTCACGTACAGACAAAACCCTGAAAAGCAAAAACTTTTTTATCAGCTGTTTGCGATTTTATACTTCCGACATACTCTGCATTTGTTTGCACTGCAAAAGATTCAAAATTCGAAGTTTGTATTACTGGTTCGATTGAGGTGTCGAGATACACTGAGCAGAGCTCGAGATCTTTCCTTTTGTGCTCGCTGCACCATGTWATTTTTTATGAATTTATGATTTCTGAAAAAGGAAATTCCAACCTTTGATACCGAGGGTTTACTTTCATATCTCTGYCTGATTTTGTTTTCTTTTGTCACTGAACCTGAGTATAAGAATCGCGATTTATAGAATATTTGATGAATTTTGACATTTATCAGACACTTTGATCTTTTTCTAATAAAAGAATATTCCATAAATCTCCAGAAATTTGCCAGAAATTACGTGCAAAAATGTATTTATAGTATTTATAATTTCTAATTACATTTGTTGATATCCTTTAATATTTTCAATATATTTTTCTACGTTCATTGAGTTTCGTGCGTGCATGGAAACACGACCGTCTGAAACTGTCACAACCACGTGGCAATTGTCAGCCAATCAGATACGAAGAAACGACCTTTGGACCGGGATCCGGGAATCTCGTTTCGTCATTGCTTCTGGAAGACGTACAAACTGTCACGATTTCTTCTACTTATCATTGTACATATTTAGTATTTATTTCTTGTAGTTAGTTAGGATGTCATTGATCTCGGTGCTCACAAGGTAGGTTAACTTCTAGCTACCTTYGCTTCGTCTTCAACGTCTCTACATGTCTACCAGAAGCCGGCAACTTAAATCTTCTAAATTGCACAATCCTACAAATCGTTACCCGTTGACATTTGGTGGTGATGTCCTGATGTCCTTTCGTTTCGTTYTCTTTCAGACTACCGAAGTCTTCAACAAGAGCCTTAACATTTAGATATCGTTTGACTCTGAGAGCAATGTCTTCGCTTCCGCCAGTCGTTAAAGGAGATTTCAACGCTTTGCCGAAGAAGGTTCAAGCCTTCGTCGAAGAGAACGCCAAGTTGTGCACTCCTAAGAATATCCACATATGTGATGGCACAAAAGAAGAGAATGAGAAACTCGTAGACCTGTTAGTGAAGGCTGGGACTTGTTCTCCACTTGCAAAGCATGACAATTGGTATGAATTTGAGAGTGTAAATTGGATTTGTAGTTTCTTGTAGACGCCATTGAAGGTTGATGATCTGAGCGTTTATTTAGAAATGCCGCTCATATAAACATGACATCGTTAATCTTATTGTTTTGAAAGTACACGAGTAAGCGAAATATGTGGTTTGTATATCTTTTTGGTCTTTTACTTGAGTATAACTTAAATGTATTGATTTGGAGTCGTGTAAAATTACTTGCTCAAATAGGGTCACCACAAATTATGAACTTTGATTCTTATTTGCTACTTAACATTGTATTGTCTTTATTATAGCTACGTAGCCAGAACTGACCCTAAGGATGTTGCTCGAGTTGAAGGCAAGACATTTATTTGCACCGAGGATCGATACGAAGCTGTGCCTCATGTGAAAGAAGGCGTTGAAGGCAAGTTGGGACGTTGGCTATCTATGGACGAAGTCAAAACTAAACTAGATGAACGYTTTCCTGGCTCTATGAAAGGTAAGCAGAGCATAAAATTTGATTTATTTTTTTTTTTTTTAGCGACGATAGTTTTTCCTGCTGTATAAGAGAGGACTTCGTTACACCGGTCTTTTCAAGTAAAGCGTTTCTGATTGGTTAACTTTGTAGGCGTGTAAGGGGAGGATTATTACGTCGTCGCCCACGTAGTTAACTCGTGGCAGATTCTGTAAACAAACATTTTTTAGCATTTCTAAAATCGTTATAGCAATTCTTGGAGCAACTTCCCACAGGGATTTCATCATCATTTATAATATAGAAAATATGAATTGATCTTCATTTTGCTTTCTCCTTGAATATTGTTGATTAAATAGTTCTGTTTTCAAAATACTGTAAGACTTCAACTCTTGAAATCCCAGAGTATTTGWTCAGATGTTTTTATTCATTTGTTAATGAGGTCAAACTTTTCTCCCAAATGCTTCTCTATTGTGCATAACTTTGACCACTACAATATCATAAAAAATAAGTACTTCAAGCTGCACAAGAAACTAAGAAAAAATCACAATGTTTTATKGTTTGTTTTTCCCCAGGCCGTACCATGTATGTCATTCCATTCAGCATGGGRCCAATAGGATCCAAAGTGTCCAAGATCGGAATTGAACTGACTGATTCACCRTAYGTYGTGTGCTGTATGAAGATCATGACACGCATGGGAGCCACAGTATTGAATGCTCTTGGCGAAGGGGAGTTTGTAAGGGGTCTTCATTCAATTGGTTTACCTGATGATGGGGTCAAWAAGCCAGAGGTTYCTTACTGGCCATGTAATCCTGAAAAGACCATCATCACACACTTTCCAAAGACTCGTGAAATCAAGTCGTTTGGTAGTGGCTATGGAGGGAATTCCTTGYTGGGCAAGAAATGCTTTGCTTTGAGAATTGCAGGGGTGATTGCCAGGGATGAAGGATGGTTAGCTGAACACATGATGGTGAGAGATTATTAATTTAAGTAACAATGYGCGCAAAAAGCAGGCAACTTTCTATTGTTCTGCGGCAATTGCAACTTCCCCACATACGAATGTCTTGGTCTTCACACTGATTATATATCAACCTATGGGTAACACATTTTTAAAATAAAATGTGAATAAACTCTGTTTTGAAACAAAGTTTCTTTTGTATTAAAAGATCTTGTCCAATCATAAGCACTCAAAACAATAGCCAAAAAATGCTTCTAATTTGCTATGTTCCCCACATAGAATTGCTATTAATATTAAAGCTAAGGAAAGCTTTTATGAAGTCGGAATCAGATATTAAATAAAATATTTAAAACTGCGCTTACTTTTGAAATTATGTCAAATTTTAATGTTTTAACCAATGAGATGGATGGATTATACAATACAAAATTAGCACCTTCATGCATTCCATTGCCGTTTGCTTGCCTGCTTCTTACTCGGACCATTACTTAA